TGCTGCATTAATACACAATATTTGACTTTGTTTTTTTGGTTTTTTTAACAGAGACAAGATCCTGAAGTTGGTGAGAACTCAGCTGCAGCTAGAGTAAGACATATATGTCTGATGTGTGATTTCTTTGTTTCTATATACTCTATTATTTATTTGTTTAATCTTTTTGTAGAGTGTAAACAAAAGATCACAACCAAAGTGTATCTTGACTGACTGGACTGGTGGTGATGCAACTGTTGCTGAGGGGCGTATTATTACTTATGATCCCGAAGACTTAGTGAATGATTGTCGCTTAGGTCCTACAGATTTAAAGGTTTTGGTTGAGATTGATATTGTACCAGAAGCATTTGGAGACCTGCGATTAACATGTTCACAATTGAGAAAGCTGTTGGACAGATGATCGCTTGGCCTGCCTCTAAGTGTGTTAACCTAGAACAGGGGATCCAACCAGAAGACATTACACCACTGGTAAGTTTATTGTTCATTCTCATTTGTACTATAATATATAGTTATATATATATATATATATATATATATATATATATATATATATATATGATGATCATATTGTCTGAACGGTGTGGTTGACAGGGCCAAAGAAGTAATTCAGAGAACAAATGCAAGTTACTAGATTTGACTTCAGATGATGTGGTTGTGGCTGAAGGACGCTGGCAGACCCAAGAACAGAATGCATTAGTAAATGGGCTTCCTCTCGGACCAAATGCAGTGAAAGTATTTGTTGATGTGGTACATCAACATAATACATTTATCTGGAGGCCTACGATAGATATAACATACATTGAGGACTGTTTAAAGTCTTTTGTATCATGGCCTGCGAACAAAGTTGTCTTCGAAAACACCACAAATGCAACATGTCAGCAATCTCCTCTTCAGAAGTCAGTAGCAGCTCAGAACTCAGTACCATCAGCTCAGAAATCAGTACCATCAGCTCAGAAATCAGCAGCATCAGGTTCTAAATCAGCAGCAACAGGTCTAAGAGCTGCAACCTCATGTTCAAAATCTGTAGCAACATTCATAAAACCTCCTTCTGAGAAGTCTCCACCAGCATGTCCTAAATCTCCTGTAAAGAAAACTCAACTAGCTTCACAATCCCCTCCTCGAAGATCCCCGGTAAATCTTTTTAAAATGCTATGAAGTTACATTTTGGTTATTTTTCTATATGTCGTAAACTCATTTTATTATGTAAACATGGCAGCGTAAAATTGGAGCTGAGGCTATCAAAGCAAATCAGAAATGCAAGTTGCTGGATATTGGTGGAAAGAAGCAGGTTGTTGCTGAAGGACGTGTGAATTCAGTCGATCCAGACATTAAGGTCCACTGTGTTCGCTTGGGGTTAAATGCAGCTAGAGTATGGGTTGATATAGTGAAGATAGATGATGCGGCGGTTTGGAGGCCATCAAATGAAATCGAGTACATGAGAGATGCACTTGGTTCAGCTATTGCATGGCCAATGAATAAGTTGGTTATCTTTTGAGTTTAAGCATAGGTATGTAATTAATGTGATTCTTGTGCTTTGGTTTTAAATCGAGATCCTACTGATATAACAAATCTAATATAAGATTGTTTGTTGCAAGGGAATGAAGAAACTTTGGTCCAGGTTTGCTAGTTTTAATTAAGTTTAAGACTAAGCTAATCATCAACTTATGACTTGTTATGACTTGTGTTATGTATTTTGGATTAAGACTTGTTTTATGTATGATGAATGATTTTCTAGACTTCTGTATGTTGGATTGGAATCATATTTATGTGAAATGACTTTTATATCTATATGTTATTATTTATACTATGCAATATGACATGATTAAAGTATATAGGTTTCTTAAAACTCATATAATAGCAAAATGAAAAACAGTTCTATACTTAAATCATAGCATTAAAATAATTGTTTTGAAAGAAAGTATAATAGCACATATAAATGAAATAATAAAATTATATATAACAATTTTTAAGAGCTATTGTATAAGCATATATATTATAGCACTAAACATGAAGCTAGACAAATACAAATTATTGCAATATAGAATTGCTATTGTAGAATGGCCTACGATAACAAAAAATCAGTTGCTATATAAGAATAAATAAAAGCGTTGGAATATTGCTATAGTATCGGAATATATCATAGCGTTGAAAATGTTGCTACCGTATGTCAAAAACCTACCATAGCTGCCGATGTCATAGCATTAGTGAATTCGCTATCTTATATATATTATAGCATATTTTCCGCGCTAACAATGTGCATATTTCTTGTCGTGTACATGAAAACTGAGTCACAAACTAAGATATGAGTTTCTTCAAAACAAAAACTTCTTTACTAGAAAATCTATTTTATGCTACTTACAAGTTTCACTCAAACAATTATATATTCTCTCACATTCATAGATTTCTACACAATCCAAGAACCTCTCAAGACAAACCCTTTAAATCTAATAGGAATAGAAATTGTTTTTTTTTCTTTAAGGATTAGTAAATTATTCTTTGTCTTCATGTTTATTTTCCTCTCTAAAAAGGAAACTTTTCAAGCTTCTAGAATTGTCTCGAAGATCCTAGCATCTATAGCTTACTCTGACATGGTACATCAACTACGCCAACAACTTCATCTTCATTCTCCACCTTTCATACATGTCAATTTATTTTTCTCTTCATCTTGATTTAAAACTCAGTTAAGATTAATACATTAACATGTATAACTATCTAAGAAAAAAAAAAATATATATATATATATATAACAAGAAATTACTTTCTCGAATTCTCCGCTTTTCTACATGGTATTAGAGCAACATCTCTGAACCTAAATTTTTCTGTTTCATTCTTTGTTCAGTTTCTTGATCTATCCTACGATGGCAGTACAAATCTCCATAGTTGTAAATTAAAGGTTGTATCTAGTGGTGATACCACAACGCCTTTTTTTGCCTCCTTCTGACAATTTCGGTTCGGTAATTACATCAATGCCTCTCACCAGAAAAAATTACAATGAATGGGCATTCACGATGCTTAATGCCCTTTGTGTCAAGAAGAAGACGAATTTTGTCGATGACACTTTGTCTAAACTGGTAGTTGATAGCTCCGATTTAGAATCATGGATATTAGTGAATTCTATGGTTGTTGGTTAGTTAGGAACTTTTATCACAACTCGTGCAAGCCTATTCAAAGGTGATTTGTGAAGACCAAAGAATCCTCTCCACAAAGACATGCGAGCAACATCAAGAATTAGTTGGTTTTGTTGTTAGTTATTGATCTAGTCTCAACACATCTTGGTTTACGTGGTTATTCCACCAGTTTCGCTATCCGACCAGATTTATATGTTTTAACACTTAATAATCAAAACAAGGATCAAATTCTCTGTTTTCACTGTGGCTAATCTAGTCACAAGAAGGCATATTGCTGGCATTTACATGGCTATCTTGAATGATGTTTTAAATGGAATGCACGATCTATTGGAAGAGTCTTTTAAAGCTTGCATGGAGACCGAGGTCCGTTTACCATAGGTCGTGGTTTAGCTCAAGCTGACGGAGCACACACAAAATCTTCTAATGCCTTTGTTTTTCTAGAGTTCTCACTTGAGCAATGGAAGGCGATTCATATGATGTCTAGTGAAAAGATATGTGGTAGTAGTAATCACAATAAACTTACTTGTAAGACATATGGATATGTTATAACTAATCCATGGACACGATGTATTGGGAAGGGAAAAATTAGGCGAGTGAGAACGCTTAGATCGGTGAGAGTTGTATCCTATATCAATGACCAACCCGACACTGCAATGACATTACACATGATATATACAATAAAGTGGCTTCATATAATTTTGCTTCAACCATGGTTATATTCTTTCAACTTCCTAATCTCGACACAATAGATTTATTCTCTTCCATACAAGCACGGAACCACCCATAAAGATTCTTAATAAAATATGTGGTATATGTCCGACATTGTCTCTCTCCTGGAAGATTGAGTCCAGGTTGCTTTGCCTAACGAAGCATACAACAAAGAGTAAAGTAATGAAATGAAGAGCGAGATGAAGGAAATCTGAAGAGTTCTCATCTTCATTTTCAAGGACAAAATAAAGCCATCAATATAAAACATAGAGCAAAATGTTAGGATGACGTTCGGGTTGAGAGGCAGCGAGATGATCTTGTACACTCTTGATGGAACCCATCTTACTATAAGTCATATTTCCCTTGTAAGGCCAAACCACCACCACCGGTAATCCACCCTCGATTTCAAGGATATTTTCATTATCCATGGGATACATGCAAATTTACATCATAGATAAACGGAAAGAAGAACATGCTCTTGGAGACTTCTCCAAAGAGCGACAATATATGAGAAAACCGGTTCATAAAAGATCTATAAAAAACTTAAAGGGTAGGAAAAAAAAAAGCTACAATGAGATGCACCATAAAGCCCATATGAAAGATCTGATCACGGCGCTATAGAATTCCTATTTATGCAATCAGAATCAAGCAAGAACACCTACTTAAATTTTCTTTGGCTATATGTAAACAAGTTTTTAAAAAAAATATATTTTGTCTGTAAGGTTAATTTTTTTACATACTGTTCAACTTATATATGAATAATGCATATGTTGATTTTGGTAACTTAAACAAATCAACATATAAGAAATTTAGTTCTTTATACGTAGTCAAAATATTAATGACATTTCTATAAATTACTTTTATTAAATTTGGTAACCTTATTAAATTTAGTACTAGGTCCGGACCCGCACGTACGTGCGACTTTATATTTTACGATATGTGTTTTATAAAATATGTTTTTCAGAAGTAGTATTTAACAAATTATTTTCTATTTTTGTAGTATTTTAGATAATTGTATATAATTCATAATAATATAGAAATTTATTGGAAAATTTTATTTTGTGTTTTAAATAAACTTTGGTACACAAGTTGGTTATTGTTTGATAGAATATAAATTTTGAACAGAAAAGTAAGTATAATTGTTTTATAGAATTAGTTTATTGGTTTGGGTGATTGATAAATAATTTGGATAGTTGCAGAATATTGGTGTATAATAGTATAATAGTATTTATGATTGTTTATAGAATATGTAATATGTAATTTTAAATAAATGGCAAACAATTGTTTTGCTCCTACGAAAATAATGGATATCATTTGTCATTAAAAGGCTATAACCCAACGAAAATTTAGGAGCCCATTAATAAATCAGATAGCAATTTTCTTTTGGGCCGTAACAAACAAAATTGTCTTCAGATCGTTTCACATAAACGATTGATTTTTTTTATTGCATAAATGATTTTTTTTTCTAGAACAGATAACTCTAGAACATTGTCTTATCGTTTTCACTAAAACACACCGAAAAAAAATCAGACGGTTGTTCGTAATAAAAATCATTCGCAAAATTATCTTATAATCAAGATACTATGTCTTCGTTTATCATATGTTAATCGTAACACCGGAATTCTACAAAGAGGTAAACTTATTATTGTTTCAGATTTTGACTTTATTTTTCCATATGTTTCGATTGAAATTCCAATCTCTGAAATTTTATGTTTGAACAGAGCTCATGGGCGTTGATTATCAAGAACCTGATAATATATGGGTAAGTAATGCTAATTTTATATCTTTAAAGTTTTTGAATAAAGAGGTAGAAACAGTTTTGCAAATCTCAGGTGATTGTTCGATCTAAGAATCAATTCCAAAATTTTATGATAATCAAGCTATTACGTCTCCGTTCATCCTTTTTTCATGTCAAATTCATAAAGAGGTAAGCTATGGATTTGATTGTTATTATTGACAAATATTTAAAAAAAAATTGTCAATTCAAATTCGAACTTTGAAATTTTCTGTTTAAACTGAGTTCTTGGGCAATGATTGTCAAGAACCCAGATCTTTACATATAGAAATACATAAATCTCAATCTCTTTGCATAAATCGTCAATTGTGGGATAATTTATTTGAGTGTGTTAGCTAGTAAACCAATTTCTTTACATAAATCGTCTGTTTTCTGATTTAAGATTTTTAGAAATTTGATTGTCTATAAATAATTATTAACAGTTGATTTTGTGTTCTGATATGTGTTTTAATTACAATTTTTTCTATATATATTTCAGATAATGGTTTGCCCAACGATGTTGCCAAAAGAAGATGATTCTGAATAAAATTAAATGGCAAATTTGATGTCATTTAGAAGCCATACCAGAATCTGGAAGCAATGTTAAAGGTTAGAGAAGTGTTATTGATTCAACTTTTGTTTAATCCATAATAATATTTAGCTATTGTTATTTGTTACTCTTTCTGAATTAGTATAATTGTTTTGTCATTTTATGTTTTCAGATTTGACTAAATTTTTCTTTTTGTTTGTTCAATGTATACATTCCAAGCATCAGTTCAAAGTTAAATTATCATGGATGAGGCAGATTTGATGTTGCTTTTGTAGCAATTCAGAAATATAGAAGCTTTGGTAAAGGTTAGTGAGTTGATAAGTTTAAGATCTCTCTTTAGTCCATAGAAATTTTAGAGTATGTTATCTGTCAATAGTTACAGCCGTTATCAATTTTTATGAGTAACTATGTAATTGTCAATTATTTGTTTTGATAGTGACTATTGTTAATTAAACCGAGTAAGTTTCAATATACAACGGCAGACCGCTCAAGACAGGAAATGTTGAGTGTCATGAGCCCAATGCCAATAAATCGTTGGCCATTCCATAGGTACATGTTTTACTTCAATTTTTACCCTTCGAAAAGAGCATCAAACAACTTGTTTGGTTGGCTCTTAAAAAAACCTTCATTGATCTAAATCAGCAGAAGACAGGGAAACCCAACAATGGTGTCAAGCCCACATACCCATAAAGCACCAAAACATGCACCTCGTCCACCCTTTCGAACCAAACTCGCAGAGATGAAGCAAATCACTGCTGTTCTTTTCCAAGACCAGACACCGTTTCCTTCATGATGCATCGTTCCTTCTGTTCTCTAAAGGCCGACTTTGTTCAAACTAATGGCTCCAAAGCACCCTCGAGTGCTCTTCTATGAGCATGAATTATGTCAAGCTGTTGCTTAAAACAACCTTACCTGATTACACTTGCTGCAGTCGGACTCTTCATATTGGTTTCCTCACTTTATGTTGATATTAGGTTTTGTCTTCATTACATTATTGATCATTTCTATTGATGATCATCATTACCTATAGTAAGAAGCATGCAAGAACGGTGCATGCTAGTGGTGCTGCCATGCCATTTTCTTAGAAGAATCGTGAAGAGAACAGATGAAAGCTTTTAAAAGGTGAGTGTGTATCTTCAATTGCATTCTTTACACTATATTTATAGTAAACTCAAGTCGTAGCATTTTGTTAGGGTTTAGTGAATTTCGGCACAAGAATATATTTTCGAGAAAGCATATTTTAGGTATATGCTTGATTTGTTTCTATATGAATCTAGATATGAAAGCTTTTTTTTAGTAAAATTATTAACTAAATACAGATTTGAAGAGATTTTTTATTTTCAAAATATCGGTTGTTATAAAAATATCGGTGAACTGATTTTTTATAAATCGAATTCATTGTTTTGCTTGTTATGGAATTATATTCGAAGCTATATAATCTTATTTATTGAAATTTTAATTGCTAACATTCCGTAAATTATGTATAGATCAGGAATTTTCTTTAGTTGTTCCGATTTGATGCAACACATATCCTTGATTTTTGTGATTAAAAAACATAACTAAATATGGATATATACTGATTTTATTAGTTGTGGTAATCAATCATAAATGAAATCGAATATGTTCGGAATTAAGTTTTCTTTAAATCTATGGAATATATGGGATTTGGGTTGATATGAAAATATTTACGTAGTGATAATTTCTAATTCGAATTTTTAAATTGCTTGATATGGAAATATATGTGAAGGTAGTTAATCTAATTTATTTTTACTTGAATTCATGTAGATCTCGTCCATAAATATTAGGCTAAATATTGGGCTAATTTACTCAAAAGTCCAATACGATTATTCTGCAGGATCCGCGTATTTTACCATTTATGTACCCGGGATCCGCGCATTTTACCGAATTGGGATCCGAATAATGATCCAAGATCCGCGTCCTTCAGAGTGCAAAAATGTCCATTTTACCCCTCAAAGATTTCTTTTATTTAGTCATAGAAATAAAAATTTGTAATGGCATCCTTTGTAATTCTTTACCTTTTATAAGGTTAATTATTATCCAATGCTTCCCGATTAATAGTATAGATTCAAATCTAAGGAAATATTTTAATGTATTTTAAGTCATATTTCCCTTGTAAGGCCAAACCACCACCACCGGTAATCCACCCTCGATTTCGAGGATATTTCCATTATCCATGGGATACATGCAAATTTACATCATAGCTAAACGGAAATAAGAACATGCTCTTGGAGACTTCTCTGAAGAACATGCTCTTGGAGACTTCTCCAAAGAGCAATACTATATGAGAAAACCGGTTCATAAAAGTTCTATAGAAAACTTAAAGGGTAGGGAAAAAAAGGCTACAATGAGATGCACCATAAAGCCCATATGAAAGATCTGATTACGACGCAATAGAATTCTTATTTATGTAATCAGAATCAAGCAAGAACAAGTACTTAAATTTTCTTTGGCTATATGTAAACAAGTTTTTTAAAAAAGATATATTTTTTCTGTAAGTATTAATTTTTTTTCCATACTGTTCAACTTATATATGAATAATGTATATGTTGATTTTGGTGACTTAATCAAATCAACATATAAGAAATTTAGTTCTTTATATGTAGTCAAAATATTAATAACATTTCTATAAATTACTTTTATTAAATTTTGGTAACCTTATTAAATTTAGTATTCAAATATAAGGAAATATTTTAATGTATTTTGCGATGTTTTGCCTATAAATTTGCTATTTTGCGTTCTCATGGTCGCGAGAGAAGTTGAGCAAAAGGTGAAAGTTGTCTTATAACTATTGAGATAACTTGGTATACCGATCTTTGGATAAGAGCTGATGGAAAGTGGCAACGTTGTGAATGCACAACCTGAATTATCAGGCATAAGTAATACATTTTGACTTTTTTAAATTTATTTTCTTGAAAATTTTTATGGTTATAATGTTTTGGTATTCTTTCAGCAGTTGATGAATCTAAAAGTTATATGTACGAGCAGTTATGGAAATTGTGTGCTGGACCTTTATATGATATTCCAAAAGTTGGAGAAAAAGTTTACTACTTTCCTCAAGGCCACATAGAGATTGTGAGCTCTCTCTCTCTCTCTCTCTCTCTCTCTCTCTCTCTCTCTCTCTCTCTCTCTCTCTCTCTCTCTCTCTCTCTCTCTCTCTCTCTCTCTCTCTCTCTCTCTCTCTCTCTCTCTCTCTCTCTCTCTCTCTCTCTCTCTCTCTCTCTCTCTCTCTCTCTCTCTCTCTCTCGTGTTATTGCTATTCAGCTTAAAGTATATCTTTTTGATGTTTTAGCGAATACACATGAGATATATTATCTTATTTTGTATATATTAATTTATTATAAAAAGAACTAATTATTTAATTGTTTGATTTTAGGTGGAAAAAAATAGTGATGAGACTTATGCTGAGATCACTTTGATGCCATATACAACTGTGAGTGGAAAAATCCAAAATTTCATTTTTATCTTATTTTTTAGTGAATTGTAATTTTTCTCCTATTATATCTCATTGATTTTCTGAATTGTTTTTAATTTTTAGCAAGTGGTAATCCATAATCAGAATGATAATCATTATAGGCCATCGGTTAATTCATTTACAAAGGTTTTAACGGCCTCAGATACAAGCGCCCATGGTGGATTCTCTGTTCCGAGAAAACATGCTATTGAATGTCTCCCTCCTCTGGTATTTATGTTTAATATTTTTTTTTATTCAATGAATTCGAATTTTAATTTTTTATTAGACATTTACATATTAAGTTTTGCTTTAGAATATGTCTGAGCCTCTACCGGCACAAGAACTTCTTACTACAGATCTCCAAGGGAATCAATGGAGATTCAAACACAGCTACAGAGGTAATAAATCCTTTTATTTATATAAACATATGATTATCATGACTAGTAACTAATATTCTCTTTCCATGCAGGTACACCGCCAAGACATTTGATAACAACAGGTTGGAACGCATTCACAACATCAAAAAAATTGGTTGCAGGGGATGTTATTGTATTCCTTAGGTATAATATTTTTTTCTTTTTATATTTAATTATTTTGGTTCATGAGTTTTGGACTTTAATCTATTTACTTGTTGTGTCAGGGGAGAGTGTGGAGAGTTACGAGTTGGTATCAGACGGGCAGGGCATCAACAAGGGAACAGACCTTCATCACTAATATCAATAGATAGTATGGGACATGGAGTAATTGCTTCTGCAGTGCATGCTTTTGATAACCAATGTATGTTTATTGTGGTTTGTAAGCCAAGGTAATTCAAAAAACTATGAACTCACATTTATGATTCTATTGAATTATTAATAGATTAGTTTCTTCAACATGTAGGTTTATATTTTGTGTCTTTATATGTATCAGGTCAAGTCAATTTATTGTCAGTTACGACAAATTCTTAGACGCAGTGAACAAGAAGTTCAATGTCGGTTCAAGATTTACAATGCGATTTGAAGGTGATGATTTATCTGAAAGAAGGTAACATTCAACATTTTCTTTCCTCTTAAATATAGCTCTAATGTCTAATATTACCTATTACAATATATTTTGTTTTATTAATTCAGATATTCTGGAACAATTATTGGAGTTAAAGATTTCTCCCCTCATTGGATCGAATCAGAATGGCGAAGCTTAGAAGTAAAATTCTCCTTCACACTTTATAACATTATTTTAAGAGTAAGTTTTTAGTACAATAAATAACATATTATTAATTTACTCTAATTTTGCAGGTGAAGTGGGATGAATTTGCATCATTTCCAAGACCTGATAAAGTTTCCCCATGGGAAATCGAACATTTAACTCCTTTGTCAAATGTTCTCCGGTCATCTTTGCTCAAGAACAAGCGTTCCCGAGAAGTTAATGAAATCGGTATAAAAAAAAACTCTTATAATCTTCTATTTAAGGAATTAATCTTCTATTAAATGAATTAAAAATTCCTTGTGAATACCTCATTATATATATTATATATAGGTTCAACATCATCACATCTCTTGCCTCCTATATCGACACAAGATCAAGAAATTGGACAACCAAGCATGATCTATCCGATGAATGTTCTTCCTAGTTATCGTGATGCAACAGAAGATGCTGAGATTCCTTCTAGGTTGCTAATTAGCTACCCTGTCCCAACAATGCCCAAACTAACTTACAATAACAATCAAATGGTTACACCACTAGAAAAAAATATAACAACCAATGCCAGCGCCAGTTGTAGACTGTTTGGAGTCTCTCTTGCCACTCCTTCAGAGATCAAAGATCCCATTGACCAACAAGACTCATATCAGATATCTGAGATTTCTAAACTCTCTCAAGAGAAAAAGTTTGGTCTTGGTCAAACTTTAACATCTGCAAGAGAGATCCAAAGCAAGCAGTTAAGTTCTACTAGAAGCTGTACCAAAGTAAGTATAAGATCAATATATTATTACTCTTTATATATGAATCTTTTTCTCATTGTACCCAACTCACGCAATCTTGATATGGAACAGGTTCAAATGGAAGGTGTAACAGTAGGAAGAGCTTTGGATTTAAGTGTTCTTAATGGATATGATCAACTAATACTAGAATTGGAGAAACTCTTTGATCTCAACGGCCAGTTGCAAACCCGCAACCAATGGGAAATAAGTTTCATAGACAATGAAGGAGATAAGATGTTTGTTGGAGATGATCCATGGCCGTAAGTTTCCTTTCTCTTTCTATTCATCAAAAATTAGTTAAAATCCTGAGAGATAATATTTTATTTTGGATGTTGTGTGCATGTAGTGAATTCTGCAACATGGTGAAGAGGATTATCATATATACAAAAGAGAAGGTCAAAAACTTAAAGTCCGAACAATCTCTCAAATTGAATAAATAATCAAAACAATGTAATAAAAAGGGGTATAAAATATAACCGATGTCTTGTTCTAGTTTTTTTTGTTTCCCTTATTTGTTGTTGCATGCGTTTGTATTATATACCTCTATTTCCATCATTCATAAATAAAACAAAATCCCCTTGTTTTCGTTAAATTAAGTTTCCTTTCTAATTCATATAATCTACTTATCACTGCTACATTCTAAAGATTTGAGAGTAGTATATATTTTATAGAATTTTGAAAAGAAAATTGTGTAACGCGAAGTATAGAGTCATTCAATTAATTGAAGATTTTACTCTACCTATTATGTACTTGCAAAATGCAAAACAAGTATTTTGGAGACATAAACCAAAAGATACTGTAAAATAGTTCTATAAATCTATCACTACATTTGTTATCTTTATTATTGTTACTATCATAAAGATGTATTATGGAAAAATCTGGATATTCAAGTATTTAAATATTTATTCATGCTACCTTTCTTACCAGAGTTTGACTTCAGTTACTCGTGTTACCTTGCATTGTACGGGCCAATAACAGAAAAAAGCATTTATATGAAATAAAATATAAGTCAAGCAAATATGAAAATGAAAAGTATAAAATCTCACTGTGTAACTGATCCATTTTTAACACATAAACTAGGATATAACCCGCGGTACACCGCATGACAAATTTTATTTCTCCATATAATAATGCTAGACTTTTACAGATTTAAATGAGTATTAAAATTATATGATTTAATTTTTAGTGTTTTTATACGTTGTAACACTCGTCCCGCCATATAGGCCAAGACAACATGTTATTCATCCGATCTTGCCAAAACGTTTTCTTTAGACTTCATCGATGAACAAAACATTGCACAACAACTCATGAGGTTTATTCACCTAAGGAAAAAAAGGGGGAAAATGGGTGAGTAAAGAATACTCAGTGAGGGGAATCAACTCTGCCCACTGAAACATAGAATACTTTCTTAAGCTATACAACCATAATCATAACATATAAACTTAGACACTAGCAATCACATAACATTCCTTACTTGCTAAACATAACAACATTCATGACATTCATCTTAACCACATAACCATACATACATCGTTAGCCTCGGTTTCCTCCACCTATGAGCTCTTTCTCTCTTGGAAGATTTAGTCCAATAAAACACTCACTACAACTTCGTCGGTTTGGTAACTAGGAGACGGTGGCGGCGATCT